AAAAAAAAAAAAAAAAAAAAAAAAAAAAAAAAAAAAAAAGAATGCAAATCTGGTTGTTGAACTTTCACAACAAAATTAATTTTTTTTTTTCCATTCACATTTGGCACGTTAAGAGTATTCATAAAACCAGCTCATTCAGGGAGAGGAGAGGCAATAGGATAGGCAGACGTCTTCCAAGACTGGGAGATAAGGGGAAAACTGCTTTCTGAGATTTAAACTTGTTAATTCAGCCCATAAAGGCTGTGCAGAATCCACACTCTCCTGCACTCCTTATGTCACTCCGTCTCACTTAGTCTCCTTCGCTAGTTATTCTTTGATTTTCTGACTTTTTAACAGTCCAGTCCTTGGACCTGTTTTTGTATCTACCCTCACTCCCTAGTGATCTCATTCCTTGTCTTTAAATACCACTTATATGCAAATGAGTCCCAAACTTACATTTCTAGCCTGGACCTCCCCCCTTAATTCTATATGCAACTGTCTACTTGACATCTCCATGTGGATGTAATAGGCATCCCACACTTTGTGTAGCCAAAATTGTGTTCTTGATCTTCTCTCTATTTTCCCTGTCTTAATGACAACTCCAAGTTTTTAGTTGTTTCCTTCTTTGTCTCAGACTCTGCATCCAAACAGACAAAAAAAAAAAAATTCTGTTGATTCTTTGTGGTGGACAGACCTTAAGGCAACGCCCAATAATTTCAGGCTGCTAGTATCCACAAGTTTCTTCCTCTTGAATGCTAGCAGAACCTGTGACACTTTCAACCAAAAGAATAAGGCAAAGATGACTGTGTCGCTTCCACAATTACATTTCGTTATATAGAAAAATCTCTTTCAGCAGACTGGAGCTAGAGGCTCTCCTGAACTCGAAGAAGCAAGCCTCCATGAGTTCTACTGCCACAAGGAAACGAGTTCTGCCAACACCCTGAATGACCTTGGAAGGAGATTTTTCCTAAGTCAAGCCTCCAGATAAGAATGAAGCCTAGTCAGCACTTTGATTGCAGCCTGGTGACAACCTGAAGCACAGAACCATCCATCTAAGGAGGACTGTTAATCACAAAGGAAACCGAAGAACACAGCAAAATGGAGAGGCACCCATGGGATTACATTAAACAGCCAAAGGATGAGTAGTGTGTGTCTGGCTCCCCCTGAACAGTCCTCAGCAGAGGTAGGTATATGCATGCGGTCCTGGATTCTCTTCTCCTGCCACCCACTCAGCCAACAGCTGAAACAAATCCCTTTGAAATTCCACAGATGTCTTTATTGTATAAAAGCACATAAAATAAGGGCTTTGATCCAGAGTCAAGTTCCTGATTTTTGCACATGTCGTGAATTTCTGGTCAGCCTACCTCTAGACCAGCCCCACCCCCTTACCTTTTATAACAGACAGCTCGGTCCACACTTTTAGAGCTAGACCTGGGTATAAAGTACAAATAAATCAATCTCAATGGAAGGAAAGCTATCTTAGAGACGTTGCCATAGTTTACAAATTTGTGTTTAATGACATTAAATATGTTTTGGTATAGCACTACCTTAATAAGAAAAGCAATGTGGACCTAAATGGAACAAATTAATCAAAATCTTCTGTTTTACAAGTAAGCAAGTTAGAATACCAAATAATCTCCTCCCAGGTACATGTTTAAGATAATATAGCAAATGTTTCCAGGTGGAAGCCAGCCCGATGGTGGGGAGTTCCTGGGAGACGGGGGCTGTGGACCCTAGCCCCGACCCTGCCACTGCCACACATCCAGACCAGCAACGGAGCCAGCCTGATGCCTGGGGGATCCTGGGAGACTGGGGCCAGGACAGCCCCACTCCCGCCTGCAACCAGATCCTAGAATGTAGTTATTAACCTCGTGTATTTCTTTGGGTGTGTGACTTATCTGCTCATGTCCTTCACCAAATTTCAGCTTAGATTTTTCTAATTCATTTTTAGAGTTCTTTTTGCAACAAGGATGTTAATCTTTGAGTGTTTAAAAAAAAAAGTAGAGAATAGAATAATGCTTACCAGAGGCTGGGAGGGGTAGGGGTGGGGGGCAAGATTAGGGGTAAATATGGAGACAAAACTGTGCCATCTACCCTACCCTAAAGTGAATCATTGTGCAGGATATGCATGTATTGAAACAACACACTGCACCCCACAAAAATAAATGTAAATAAAATTGAATTTTAAAAATGCTTCCTTTTTTTCTCTTATAATAACCTAGTAACTCTTTTCCAATATCTATCTGTGACAAGAAGGTCTATTTGTCCCACAATATTCATCCTCGCCTTCTTCTAGAGAAATAGACACCTTACTGGGTATACAGTCACCCAAAACAAAGACTATATTTTACAACCTTTCTTGTAGCTCTATCTGTGGTCATGTAATCAGACTCCAGCCAGTGGGATTTAAGAAGAGATGTCATGTGGCAGCTCTGAGAAACCTTTTTTAAGAGGTAGTTATTGTATGTCCCTTGTCTCTGTCTCTTTATTCCTACCTCCACTTTGTTGCCCAGATTGAGTCTGCCTTGCACATGAGAAATGGGGCTACGCCATAGGTCGGCAGATCTATGACCTAGCAGG